GCACCCATATAAACCTCCACGTACACGTCACCTTCTTGAATTTCTAAACATTATACCCATAAAATTAATATGAAACCCTCAACATCGTCAATCAAACCAAAACAACACACTCATCATCCAGAACCCTCTCTAGCCTTAAAAACACAACCATCTTCACAATGAAACTATATGAATGAAGAAGGATAAGAAAACAAAACACAAACACTAACAAACAACAACAGGGAGTTCACGCCCAGACCGACGTAGAGCTTCCCAAAGATTTGGAGTCACCCCAGATGTTCCCCAAATAACCAGAGTTATTCTGTTCGAGTGAGTATTTGTTATTGTTAACATTCAAGTCAGCAGAACTTCCCTGTTGATTTGGAGATGTAACATTTAAGAATCCAGAACCATTCATCCCCAGAGAAGTAGTTGACTCAAGCGGATGGTCGAATGGTGCACTGAATTGAGGAGACCCAAATTGTGGGGATTCATTTGCAAAGCCTGTTGGGAAAGCTGGTGGTGAGGCTCTTAACGGACTCAGCATATCTCCTGTTGAAATGGCACTCTGGTTTTGGAAAGCACTGAATTTGTTCACCAGAGGATTGCCAGAGTAGAAGTTAGAAGCCTGCAAAGAATTACCATTGTAAGCTGAGCGATTGTCGTAGTACTGCTGTTGTTGCTGTGGTGCTTGCTGTTGTGGCATATATACCTGCTGCTGCTGTTGTTGTTGTTGAAGTTGATGGGTCTTCATCTGCTGGTTTGGTCCACCAGACAATAACCCATTGGAAGACTTGAGTCTATTGATGTTCTGTAAGCCCTGGTTTAGGAACTGTTGATGTTGTTGTTGTTTCAACTGCGCTGTCATGGCAAAGTTGGCAGGAGACTGGAACATGCCATTGTTGTTATTGACGTTGTTACTGCTGCTGCTGTTATTGTTGTTATTATTGCTGTGGTTGTACCCGTTACCACTGTTCTGTCTACCACCATTGTTGTGGTGGTGGTTATTACGACCTCTGTTCATATGGACATTTGGTGCATAGTGGTGATTGAAAGGTTGATGCTTTGTGAAGTTAGCAATCGCCTTATCAACCTCCCCGAACTGGTACAGAAAGGCGTCATCAACTGCACCCACCTTGGTGGTGGCATCGGCATCTTGAGCTGGGACAGTAAACGTCATGTTGTGGTAGGCAATGGTGTAGCGTCTATTGAGCTAAACAATTCAAAATGATCAACAAAGAGAAGAGCACAGGATAAAAAACAGAGACAAGAGCGAACGAAGAAAAAGACCTGGTCCTTTACAGGTGTACCATTCAAAGACGACCGAGTATGAATCAGTTGGACCGAGAGAAACAAAGCGTTACACCTCGAGCACGGGACAGAATTGCCTGAATATTGATTGACCAATAACGGTTCCCGGAAAAAGATCACAGAAGGAGCCCAGCCACGAAAGAATGGTCAGCTGTTGTAAGGCAATCTCGTGTAGAACTCAGAATCTAGCACACACACAAAGTGAACCTGTTAACTATTCAGAATGAAAAGTATCAGAGAAGGAAGAGAGAAAAGACAAAGAGAGCTTTGAGCAGCAGAGGAATGAAGAAAAAAAAGCCATCGCACGAGCGCGTGGGACTCTGAGAGAAATTTTTAACCGGGGAGGTGGTGTTTGGATGATTAGGTGTGCGGGTGATTAGGTGTGCGGGTGGCTAGGTGTACGGATGTCCATGTTGGTGATTTGTTCAGGTGAAGCTTCCACAGTAGGCATCGAACGTTATCATATCACTTTCCGCCTCAACGGAAAGCCTCTCTGTTGTTGAATTGATCGAGTAAGATGGCCAGCGAAGCGTCCACAGTATCCTTGAACGGTCTGGTCACGTTCTGTGTTAATAAACACGCCAGCCCAGTGGTGTTCCACTCGTTGTTGAAACAACTGGTGCATAAACAAGAGGTGAAAGTTGAAGAAGTTGTAGCACTGCTTGAATCGAAAGAAGAGATCGATCCGACGGTGGTCATGTTCATTGCTGGTGCGTGTCTCGGTGAGCAAGTCGGCAACTTCAAACTGGCCACGGTGCTCAGTAATTTGGAAAGTGCTCTTGGAGCCAACCAGGAGATCATATTGACAGCGTTGATAACACAGTTGAGACATACGCCCAAGATTCCCTTCAACTCTCAGGAGTTGTCTGATAGTGTGAACGCACTTGTTGACTACTTGAGGTACTTGCTGAACCACAAGTCTTCGAATGACCTGTTGATGGGCGCTGCTGGACGGTTCATCGTCCTGTTTGGAGGCTCAGTGCCTCACGATTTGACATTGGCTCCATTGTCAGAAGAGCAGAGCAACACGTTGAAGTCGTTCGTCATGGCAATCCAGGATAAGATCCCAGAGGTTACTGATGACCTTACTGAATTCACAGAAAAGTTCATGAGAAAGAACTCTGTCAATATCAGACAATCTGTATCGCTAACTTCTCCCCACTCATCAACTTCACACATTTCGTTCATGAAGACCAACAAATTACCAAAAGTGCTTTGGCTAAACTACGCATTGGAGCATTGGAAAACCCATCTACCAACGTTTCTAGTGTCGTTTGACCATTTTGTTAGGGTAAAGACCAATCAGAATGTGTTGAACGAGCTCCTGACAACGGCATTTGAAGGTTACGCTATAGAACAACAAGATAAGAAGGGATCTCAATACTTTGCCAAAAACTGGGAGCTATTCTTACTGAAAAGGGTTCCTGTATTGATCCGTGAATTGAAGTTGAAATCTACAGAATCGTCCCTGGTGAGTGCACTTAGTGTGATTTTAGCAAAGGCCTCACAAGCTATAAAGCTTCAAGCAAATGGAAATGCCTCAGGTGAAGATATGTTTGCCTCGTTCCCTTCAACAGTCACTGATGTTAGGCATGAATTCGTCAAGAGCTGTATTGCTTTACAGCTGCTTCCAAGGAGTGCCTTCAACACCATCTTGAAACAAGATGCTGCTGCTTACAGTGGCACCATTCCAACAACTGATGATATTTTGGACAGTATGGGCGAACCAGTCGATATAAAGGCCAAGTTCAACCATACTGTTGTCGAGGTGAATCCTGAATTCACCTCATTGGAAGACTCAGGTCTGCTAGAGTTCCTCCAGTCGGTTGAGGGAATGGAGGGAACCAAACAGATTCAGATTGCAGATCTGATATTGTCTTCTATCCAAGAGTTCATCAAAGCTGAGGACTCTGCACATTTGTACAGATTGTGTTTGGGTTTATCTCTGTCAGTCAATTCCCTTCACGCAATCGTGTTTCATCTGTCACCTTATGCTATTCTAAGACCTATCATGGCTTGTCTTGATAAATGGCAAATGAGCACGGAGGAGACAAACTTCCAAGAAAACCATTCAGAATTCGGTGGCATACTCTTATTCTTTATGCTCATTGTTCAAAAGTTCAGTGTGTCTGTTGTTGATCTGGTGTCACTGAAGACCAACGTCGAGTCGGAATCGTTCTGTATCAATTACCTCACGACTCTTGGATCATCAAGTAGACGAAACCCGTCGTTGGAGCTCAACCAACACAAGTCAGAGGTTATAACTGCATGGATCTCTGCTCTATTCGACTCTGGTGGTATATCGGACGACTTGATGCGTTTGTCAAACGTACAAGAGTGTTTTGAACTGTTCCCAATAATTTTCCAGCAAGCTCTAATTGCAGTGAAGCAAAACTTGACTGATGTTGAAACAGTAAAAGGAGGATTGGAGTACTTCCTTCAGCCCTCTCTCCTAGCTACAGTGGTCGGGATTGTTTCGTGGTGTGAGGACTATCTTTGGAGAGCTGAAGACGTTGACTTGATCGTCTCCTTGTTGAAAGTGCTTGTTTGTCCAACAGAACTCAGTGGTGAGTCCGTTCATATACACCGTATAATCCTGAGTATATTCGGCCCCAGACTACACAAGTGTCTCTCGACTATTGATTCTTCTCCAACTATCCCTTCCAAGATAGATCCTGTGTTCTTATCCAGTCTGCATACGTCAATCAAAGACTCTGATAGGCTGGAGTTCTTTGAGGTGGGCACCTCAAGAACTCTGGATGCTCTCTTCTCTGAATCACAGACCAACTCACATGCTTCCTTGATGCATGTATTTGGTACGAGATTCCATGCGCTATTATCATGGGGACAGTCACCTGTGCTGCCTCTCTACGACCACATGTTTCTACCGAATATGATTACATTCTTTGGCATCGGAACAGTGATAGATTACTTGCTTTCACAGGTACAGGCAGCACAGGTGTCTGCTTCTAAGAATTCAGACCTTGTGATTGAAGTGGCAGTTTTCATCCTCGTCGCCCCCTATGTTGGGTTCTCATCCCATGATAAAAATGTGGTTCTAGCTACCCTCAAGTCCCAATCTCTGGTGCCATACACCTATAAAACCACACCACAGTTGCATGAGCTGCTACAAGAACTTCTACGGAGAAAGGAGCATTACGAAGAGGGTACTCTACAATATGAAACTTTTGACTGTTTCTTAAAAAAGATTCTAGAAACAACAGAATCAATCCATCCTCTAGAATAGATTAGCTTAAATGTCGCAATGTGGCTGAACTAGAAGATTATCAACAAAAAGAGACGTTTTTTTTTCATTAAGTACTCAACTGATAGCTACTGTATTGAGCTTAGCAGCTTTAGCCTCAGCTTTTTGCTCTAACATTTTCTTACGCTTTGCTTTCTTTTCTTCTGCTTCCAGTTGCTTATTCTTGAGAGCATTGGCACCGCCCTCATCTTCATCCAACAACCACAATGCAACCTCCCTTGTTGGTTTCTGGAAGCTGGTTGTATCTTGTTCTGAACCAGATGTTCCCTTGCCTTCCATAACAACTTGCTGGACATGTTCTTTTTGTTTGGCACGATCTCTCATTCTTTCCTCGATCGTTCCACGGACAAGTAGTCTGTACACAGTGACTTGACGAGTCTGACCCAATCTATGAGCCCTATCCATAGCTTGTGAGTCAATTGTTGGATTCCAGTCAGAGTCATAGAAAATAACAGTATCTGCAGCTGTCAAATTAATACCCAACCCTCCTGCTCTTGTAGAAAGCAAAAAGACAAAAATTTCTGGTCGAGTTTGCCAATCATTAACCAAATCACGACGATCTTCAAGCTTGGAAGAACCGTCCAATCTAATAAACTTGAACTGTCTGTAGGTCAAATACTCCTCCATCAAATCCATCATCTTTGTCATTTGGAAATAGATCAATACTCTGTGATCTTCGGCCTTTAATTTTGGTAACATCTCGTCCAATTTCGCCAACTTAGCAGAATCCTTAATGAATCTATTCATAGAAGGCATCTTGATTGAAGAGTATCCAGCTTTATTGCTTAAAGCTTGAGGTAGCATTTCAGCTTTAGGGAACTCAGATACTGGTACACCATTCTCCATTAACTCATACTGTGTGTTTAGTGACAAAGGAGATAATGCTTGTCTAATCTTTGGATTGAATAACGATCTCTCTTTCTCATAAACAAATGCTCTATCATGACACACCACGTCAACAGGCGGTGCAGAAGCATGGTCCATTGAACCATGATTCTGGACATTCATATACGTATCATGATAAACAGTCTTCTGTACTTCCTTCAAGTGCGGTTCGATACTCTCCTGCTTGCTGGTCACCAACAAGAACTTCTTGTCATCGGCAGGTTGCAGTTCAGACTCACAATATGTACGTGCATCGATAGCCCTTTCGATAATATTCTTCTTCGAAACTCGGGCCACTTCGGTTGGCGTTGAATCAACAAACCTTAACCAAGAGAATGCATCATCACCTTCCAAATTGTCATTGATGTACTCTGGGTTCCATATATTAAAGAGGTGATTGAGGATGTTGTTCCTCGTATCAACAGCATTGTTTTCATTTGGAGAAAGCATGTCTCTGTAAAGAAGTTTTGGGATGTGATATGATATAGCGTTTTTGGTTGTGTATGCATACTCTAATCCATTCGTCTCTCTCAAGAACGAACCAGTCTCAGCGAACGAACCGAATGAAAAAGGGCTCTTGACGTCATCTCTTTCAAACAAATCAGGGTGGTTACAAACCTTTCTAAACTGCATAACCAAATTGATCAAACTTTGGTTTGAGTCGTCGCTTCCAGATGTCGCCTTTTCAAGTAAATCCATCAAGGAAATTTGTGATCTCAAAATCTTGTATAGCTTCTTTTGTCTGTTAGTCAAGTTGCAGTAAACATCAATCTCAATCTTGTCTCCCAATTCAGACTGCACGTTTTTCTTGATACGACGCAACATGAAGGGTTTCAAAAGTGCATGTAAACGACGTAGTTGTTGTTCGTTCAATTCGGTGTTGGACTGAGCATGACTCTCAATATCCTTGGAAAACCATTCACTAAATTCGTCGTGGTTATCAAATAAAGTGGGCATGATAAAATGCAACAATGCCCAAAGTTCCTGCATGGAGTTTTGGATTGGTGTACCAGTCAACAAAAGTCTGTTACGACATTGCAATCCGAGTAACGATTTCCATCTAGAAGATGATGAAGATTTGATGGCCTGTGCTTCATCCAGGATCATATATTGCCACTTAATTCTTTGAAAATATTGAATATCTGCAACAACCAATTGGTACGATGTGACAAGAACATGGAATGGAGAATCCTTTGTATATCTGACATTCTTTCTGTCCCAGAACTTTCTCAACACCTTACGATCTTTTGCATTACCCCAATATGGTAGAACCTTGAAATCTGGAACAAACTTGGCCACTTCTTGTTGCCAGTTATGTAAAGTAGAAGCTGGTGAGACAACAAGGAACGGGCCCCAAATATTATGAGTTTCAGCTAAATATGCCAATACTGAAATGGACTGAACAGTTTTACCTAAACCCATTTCATCAGCAAGGATACCGTTGATACCTTGATCGTACAAATTTGCAAGCCAGTTCAGACCCTTGACTTGGTATTCTTTCAAAGTACAACTGAGAAGTTTTGGTTGTTCAATTGTGATATCACCAAGCGAGGTTGGGTTCTGGAAGTTGAGATCATCATCATCGATATCAACTTGCTTCAATTCGGATGAAGAAGATTTGGCATCAAACTCTCTAGCTCTATTTTGTGCATCTAAGAGAGCACTCTGTGCATTAGCAGCAGCAGCTTTATGGATTTCATCTTCGTTATCAGAGTCGAAATCTAACTGGCTGAAATCAGTCTTGGTGGCGTTTTCCGGAGGTGCAATGTCAGTGTGACCATTTTCGCCCAGAATACCAGTGGCATTTCCTTCAATTTCATCAGTTTTGATCTTTCTACCGATGAAATGCGAGTACAACTCCGTTTGGGTAATCAAAAAGTTCAACTTTCTAGCTTGTCTTCTAGCTTCTCTCTCCTCTTCTTCACGCTTAGCCTGGTCCAAGGCCTCCTTCTCGGCCTTCTTACGCAAATCACGTTCCTCCCTTTCGTTACGCTTCCAGAAGCTAAACATTTCTCTCATACCACGTCTAGCCTTCGCCTGCATGTCCTTTTGGGATTTGTTGGTACGAATTTGCCATTTTTTACTCTCCCTCACACACAGAACAGATGTCTTTCTCAAGTTTGTAAGCTTAGTCTGTGTGGCTTGTTGTATCATTCTGTGAATCTTTGGTGCATCTTTTCTCGACAAATCCTTCCATATAGTGAAATAGACATTATCATATTGTCTCTTGACAGCCTTTAGATCCTTTGCGCTCATGGACGAGCTCTTCTTCACAGCAGGTGTGTCTTCTGGTGCAACTTCTTCCTTCCGTTCTTTCTTTAGCGGAGCACTATGAAGCGCCGCCTCGATTTTAGAAGATGCGTTGGTCTTTGCCTGTCTTTGGAAACGGGTCTTTGTTACCCTTGTTCCTTCCTTTGCAGCAGAGTCTCCGTTACGTGCTGATGCCTTTGGTGGTTTACTGACGATTTCAACGTACCCATTCTTCTTCTTACTCTGAGGCTTTGTGCGGTGGTCAGTGGAGTCCTCCAGTTTACGCTTCTTCGACTCAACCTGTTTTTTCAGTGCAGCTTTCTTCTTCTTGGATTCCTTTTTGATCAGCTCCACGGTGGAGAGTTGTTTCAAGAGCTTCTTCACCTCGAGGTTGTCCGCTGATGCCTTGTTGAGAAATTCAAACTCTTCAGCGTTCAGATAGTCCCAGTTATCAGCCTTCATCAACAACAGGTCCAGAGTGGTGATATGCGCGAGTTGGGACTTGAGCCTGTACAGGTAGCTCTCCTTCTGATCCTTGTACTTCAGGTCGTTAGCTTCAGCTAGCCGTTCCAGGAAGTCCTCTGGGAGCGTTGTAGATTCGCTGAGAGAGTTCGCAGTCGGATCATCAACGAGATCTTCAGGTCGGGTCAGAAACAGCGTCTGTTGAGCGCTCGAATGCTGATGTTGGTGCTTCGTCTCGTGCTGTCCGCCTGACGACTCCACCGTTGTCACTGGCGCCGCCTGTGCTTCCTTGCCATTGGCAACTGGGCTCGAAGCACCCGGCACATCATCAGTCAGCGGCTTCTGTGGAGACGACAAGATCGATGAGATGGCCATCCTCTGTGCAACGTTCTCGTTAGTATACACGCCTATCCACTGTACACAGGCACACCCTCCTCGCAAGCGCCGTGGCGCCGTGGTACTGGCCTCCATCCTCGCCAACCCCTTCACCTGAATGCTGGGTCGACACACCACAGTCCACAGACCACAGACCACAGACACACGGCCGCTACTGCGCTTCGTCAAACTCACCTGGTTATCGCTAGACTTCACACCCGCCATTGTTGATTTCAACCCAGGGTGCTTTGCTTGTAAGCTGTTGATACTGAATAAACCCCTTGGTTTGGTTAAGAAGGGGCAAAATTTTTTGGCCTTTGGGCTTTTATCAGCGGGACCGGCAGGTGTTTGGGAACACGGCCATGTTTTCGATAATTGGGCGTTCGTGCAAAACCCTCTCACAAGTTTTTTGCTCTTCTTGGTGCGCTCGCTGGTGCTAGAGGAAAAACACTGGAGGAGGGCTCGGAGACGACGTTTACAAGCGATTGCGGCGCTGCGGACGGGAGACAGCGGGCTGGTGAGGGTGTGCTGATGAGGGTGTGCTGGTGGAGGAGGTGCTGGCGGTGGTTAGAGAGAGCACTACGGGCTACAGCGTTGTTGTTGCGGGAGGTGGTGTTGTGGTGGTGTTGTGCTGTGTGTTCTGGCGGGTTGAGCTAATGTTGGAGGCAGGAGGGTAATCTTCACCATTTTTGGCTACTGGGGGAGAGGGAGAAACACCGTTGTGGTGGGCCAGCGTGTGCACGGGGGTGCCATGTTAAGTCGGTCTGGGAGGCTCTGCCTGGGAGGCTCTGTCTGGGAGGCTCTGCCTGGGTTGTCCTCCCTTTCCCGCTGCGGGCCTGTGCCACCGTCCTGGAGGGCGTGGGCTGTTCCGTCCGCACTGTCGAAACCCCCCTTCGCCCTCCTCGCCGTAGCGCGTCTGGAGTTGTAGTGCGGTTTAGCGTGTAGATTATACGAAGAAAAAATGGTGATAACACAGTGGCAGACTAATACAGGCAAGAGAGCGATGAGGATGAAGAGATCTTCATCCTCGTAGCTGCCAACGTTGCTGCCGTTGCTGTCCCCCCTGTGGGTGGCGAGGCCTCTCTGGAGCCCCCTGTCCTCCGCTGCCTAAGTGAGTTGACCAATAAGAACGGCGTGGAACCGTCAAAATGGATAGCTGTGCTGTTGTGTGCTTCCAACGGGGAAGACGTGCTTGGAAATTTTACTCCATTGCGTGGGAAAAAGACGGCGGAGGGGACCTACACAGCTCCAGCAGAGAGCAGTGGGGGCTCTCGGGCGTGCAAACTTGGACATATCGATTGAAAACAACAGCGGACAATGAGCATGTACATCGTATCACCACCACACACCATCCCCTTCGCTCCGCCATTCGCACTACGACGCTCGTCCTCCCTCATCATCGCACGCGAATTCCATCGGGGAGCAGTGTGGCCCCTGCTCAATCCGGTAGGCGCCACAGAGACGCGGTTTAAACTTTTTTCGATTTCGAGCGTCGTCTTTATGTTACGGACACGCACAGTACACAAACGCGTCGTGGTTCTCTTTAGCGGAAACCCTATGTTAAACAACAACAACAACAACAACAACAACAACTCAGGGAGATAAAGCGTTGCTCTGTTGGCGGTATCGTGTGAAAGGAGCACTGCAGTGAGACGAGAGCACCATCATGTTCAGAAGCACCAAGAGAAGAACAGCCGGTCGTAAGAACTTTGAAAGTTCTATCATTTCGTCATCCACTCCGAACGCCTACCTCGCCAATGTTTACAACAACTCGAAGCTCACGTTCTATACGCTTCCTCCAGTTGGCGAGATTACGCTGGATGAGTTTGAGACCTGGGCCATTGACCGTATCAAGATCTTGAATGAGATCGAGTCGTGTGCCGCTAGAAATAAGAGCTATAAGGAGATTGAATCGATTGTCGCTCCAATGATTCAACAAACGCTTCCTTTGAACTCCACCAATGTCGAAAAGCTGAATAGGGAGAGACAGAAGGATTACTACTCTCACTTCATTCTTAGGTTATGCTTCTCGAGATCGCAGGAGTTAAGGACAAAGTTCTTGAAGAATGAAACGACGCTCTTCAAGATTCGTTACAACCAGTTGACAAACGCTGAGCAGCAACAGTTTGTCAAGAGTTTGAACCTGCCATGGGACTTCATCTCGCTTGAGGAGAAGGAGCAACTGTCTACAAAGTTGTTCAACTCCATCTCTGCATCCTTGGGTTACGTCCTCCAACTGGATGACGTTCAAAAGAGGAAATATTTTGAACAAGAAGAATTCATCAAGATCCCGTTTGAGTACGTGACTGATCTCCTACCACAACGTTCCATCTTCTTACAAAGGGGAACTGCCTATGTACCAAAGTTTCAGCAATTACAATTATTGGTGAATGAATTCTCTGCGAAGTTGGAGGCCGCATTGATCTCAACATCCCATGCATTCCCATCGTTGGATGAAGATGACCGGATCTTGCCAATCTTGACCCACCTCTCATCGGGTTATTCCTTGAACTATTCACAAGATTCTTATGGTGCCAACGAAAACTCTAGCGACATCAATGCCATCACAGTCGGGTCAAAGGAGATTGTCGATCAATTCCCACTGTGTGGCCAACATGCAATGTATGGGCTAAGAACTTTACACCACTTGAAGTACACAGCACGTCAACAGTTTACCCTCTTCCTCAAGGGAATCGGTCTATCGTTGGAAGATGCCTTGACATTCTGGTCGGGTGAATTCAAATCTGTCTCCATTGACAAGTTCAACAAGGAGTACAAGTATAACATTCGTCATTCTTATGGTCTGGAAGGTGGTCGTATCAACTATAAACCATGGGACTGTCGCACGATCCTTTCGAAACCAAGACCACAGAAGGGGGAATACCATGGATGTCCATATAGAGATCTGTCATCCGATTCGTTGGCCAGAAAGCTGAGAGAGATGGGTCTTGAAGAGAAGGACGTTCAACAAATTTTGGAGATCTCCGATAAAGGTGATTACACCAACGCTTGTTCCAGAGTTCTGGAGGTGAAGACTAATGGCCACGTTCAAGAACAGGTGACACATCCTAATCTGTACTTTGACAGAATGAGACAGTACACCAAATCCCAACAGACTGAAGCATAGGTCACCATCTTCCTTGCCTAGCACACATTGTATAATATACACACAAGATTCTTTTATTTCGTACTTTTGATATATACAAGATCTCTATACCCCTGAGACGCTTCCCTACTTCTTCACTTCAGAATCCTGTTGAAGTCCTCCGTTCTCAAAAGGCGCCTCTTCTCTGGCTTCCTCCAACATTGGTAAGATGCCCTGTTTCGCTAACGCAAGCTATTCAGTGGGTTAGTCAAGAACACACACACAATCTGCTGAAACCATCCAATACTCACATCAACACACGCCTTGTAATCGTGCCATAAGTCTTCACACTCGTTGTGTAAGCTCTTCCCTTTCAAGAACTCTGTTTAGCTGTTAGATCAACATCCGGGAAGCAAGATTAAGATGAAGCACACTACTCACTCTCGGTGTACCAGTTGTTGAAACAGTCATCGTATTCTTTCTTAGCGTTGGTACACTCTGGGGCAAAACTGGACGACATCACGTTACCCATATTCTCGAACAATATCAACACCAGTCACAGTTATCCTGGAACCCTTCAAGACGGCAAACTACTAACAGTACCGGTTCTATTTGCTTTTCCCGGCTTTGTTGGTGGATAATTTTCTCCAGCGGCTGAATTGAGATTTTATGGTAGGCGCACGTGCCAGTGCTCTCGATGAGATGAGATGAGATGAGATGAAGTACTACAAGTAGAAGGCCATTTGCTATGATATCCGAGGTGCTGGACTGTCAATTGTCGTCATCACTCCAGTCGAGATTCTTAGCTCTATCCTTGGGTGCTTTGTCGAGGTACTCATCGAAATCCTCCAGTTTATCCTGCGTTGACGTTGGTTCCGGAAGGATATGGCTAGGTGCATCGTGGAAGGACTGGTCGTGTGTTGAGTCGTTTATCCCACTGACGTTGTTCAATATGTCTTTCACAATGCTCTGTGCAGCTTCTCTTGCTGTGGTATGTTTCAAGGCTTGTGGGTTCCCGGCGGTGGCAAAGTTGAGAGTGACAGGAGGCGAAATGTTTGGTGCATCTTCAGAGTCGTCTAGAGTTGGTGCTGTTGTTCCTCTCTGTATAGATGTTTCGAAGTTTTGTGAGTATGTATTGGCAGCCTGTGCAACTTGTCCTGGAGTTCTCAGCAAGTTACCCCCGCCACCGTACCTTGGAGTAAGTGGGAATCTCTGTGTAGTCTCGTCATTTCCCATAGGGAGCGACTGACGAGTCTTTCGCACTGGAGATTCGTATTTCTTAGCAGGGCTAAACTGTACCTCTGATCGAAGTTGAGGTGTCTCGATATCAAATGGCGAGGAGTCAAACTTTTGTGCAATTATAGATTTCCTCTTCTTTGATGCCGGCTTCTTTGGTGTCATCGAAGATACAATTGGCTCGTTTACACCGGTGGTTTTCCGTGGGGAGACTTCAACCTTGTAAACACTATCACCGTTCTGATGCATAATGTAGTTGCGAGACTCTTTGTCTCTTAGACTTGGCGTCGTTTCGTTCAAATCTGAACCGTTATTTGTGTTTGATATGTTTGCAGTTGGTACAGGGGGCAAAATGCTGTCGGTGGTATCAAAGCCAACATTGTTGTTCCGCGTCTCCTGGGGCATGATTGGATTCTCAGCAATCTTCTCTGGCGTTGACATGTCTGTGGATACAGACCGGTTAAGGTTATCAGTGTATCTCTTTTGAAATTGTTCTTGTGTGTGGTTCGTAGACTCCAATATGATATCATGGTTTGTGCCTAAGGTGTCCACCTTCACCGGGCTCATTTGCTCGTTCGAATCCTTCATTGAAATGTCGCCAGAGTCGTCGCTGATGTCCCTTCTCTGAGAAACCTCCTGGGCTGCTTCCTCGTAGCCTCGAAGCTCAACATTGGCACTTGTCTCCAGCATCGTCTTCCAGAAGTTCACGCCATTCCACACTTTTCTCGAATTCGAGTGATATTTCTTTACTATGGGGATAAGTTTATCGTTGATGATCTTATGAGACTGCGCAAACGACTTGTCAATGTCTTGTAACGTCAACGTGATCTCTTGTTCTAGCCTCTCCAGTTCAACGGCCTGGGCAGATGTTTCACTCAACGAGGAGTTATTGATGGCACTTTGGAAAACAGATTTCCTTCTGCTGTTACCTGAGAGTGAGTACTTTGGAGGCATCGTTTTATCAGATATGACACGCGAGTTTGGTGGGCTGGGACGCGTTTGTTCTGGCCTTTGTTGATCTTCCTTATGGACGTGTGTGTTTTTTTGTTGTCCGGAATTTCAATAACAACAGTTTCTGTTACCACAGTAACGGAAGCTGTGTACCTTTTCCGAAAACCGGGACCAGGCACCACGTGATGTGTCCCTCGGATATGGCAAAAAATGTCGCTTTTTTCGCGTTCATGACTGCCCCTTGCTTTTGTTGCTTTTTTTCGCTTTATTCGCTTTTCCCGTCGCGGCCAACCTTCTCCGTTGGTCGTGGTCAGCGCAGCTGCCGGACGGATCACTTCGATCAACCGGTCGTGCTCTAATCCATCGAAGCTTGTCCAGATCAACCCCGATCCATCATACGCAATTGATACATAGACGCTGGTTCCGACTCGCTTCCTTCCAGCTTGACGCCTATTAATAGACAATCCAGCGATGAGGTGAAACACGGCTGCCGAAGGCCGTTTTATATGTATACATTTCTCCCTTCTCAGTAGCAGGTCCCCCCCCTAACACCGTCTGCGGCCACGGGGCGACAAACTCTAATAAGCTTTAACCGTTTGACGCGACGTTGCGATGAGCTGCGAAAATTTCGTTGTGCTTTCTGTCCGGTCCACTTCCAACGGGGTGCCAGAGAGATCATTCTATATATGGCTGTGCAGTTGCTATTTCTCGGTGTATGGTGCTGAAAGGTTGAAACATCGTTCTCTGCTCCATTCCCACCTCTAACAGCCCAGGTGTCTGTACACTTTGACTATTCGTTGTGTTCAAGTTAAGCCGGAGAAGCTGTTGACACATCTTGCCGAGAAGGCCGAGCCTCAGATCACCACTCTATCTGGGATTTGCTTGGTTCCACATCTAAACTCCTACAGTGATCGCGGTGATCACACTGCTCTGATCACACTTCTCACGGTGATCACACTGCTCACGGTGATCACAGCCCACAACTCACAGCCTTCATCATACTGCGCCCTTCAACGAGATTGCATAATAAATATAGATCATACAACTGGGTTGCATAGCAAAAGCCTTGTCGCTTCCACCTGGACTCTCATCTGGAAATACTTATATCGCACGAGACCAGACAAGTCCTGGTCTACACTTCAGAACCGTGTGCCATCATAGCCATTTAAACCAGTCCAATGTTCAACAACCTGAGCTCTGTGAAGAACTGGTACTTCCTGATTCCTCTGGGAGGAATGGTGATATGGAATGGTATGCTTATAGCCATGCTTATATGCTGGGCAGGCCAAGGCCATCCAATGTATGCATTCATTGGAAGGTACCAAGATCCTGTTTACATCTCACATATCGGGGCTACAAACCTACAGCCCCTGTTCATCAGCTGTTCAGGTGCACAGGGGATCTTTTACTGTATCACGTTGGTCTTCGAGTATAGACTACGCAAGTCTGGCAAGTTGCAATATTGGTTCAAGAAAGATGAGCGCAACTTGATCTTTGCCGCGTGTGTCCTAGCCATCATCGGACAACTGGGGATTCTGTTTTGCTCAATCTTCAACACGAATGACTTCCATACTGTGCACGCCTCCATGCTTGTGATATTTATCGTGTTTCTCTTCCTATCGCTCGTGTGCCTAATGACTGAACACCTTCTCATGGCCAGGCACTACAAGCAAATCCACGTTCACCATAAGACCTGGAATAAGTTCCTGATCTACACGGTCTTGACCGTGATCTGGACAATTGCAGCTATAGTCATGGCCATCTGTTTTGCTGCAGTCGATGACTACAGCGTGTCTGGTCGTTTCGAATGGTCGCTGGCATTCTGGTACACATTCATCTGGATCATATTTGCGTGGGACTTCTACCCTGCGGCAAAGAAGACCCGTAAAAACCTTCCATACATCCATGACTGGACGAATAAGGGCTTTTACCTATACGAAGAGCACTATGGGGCCGATGCAAACGCTGAGAAGCCACCGGCAGTGCTCTCAGATAATGACCAGAACATCGAGACACTGGTCAATTCCAACGATGAGAGTTCACAGCACGAGAGAACGTTCACAGACGAAGAACTTGCCCAGTATCCACAGAGGCACAATGGACAAGATACGTATCCAATTCCAGATGGCCAAACAGTGAGAATGTACCCTAGAATAGACGCATAGACTACTATTTCTGCCTTTACATGTTATCAAAATCATAGAATATTCGTAGACGCATAAGATTAGATATAAAAGATCATGTAGGGAGCCCATATTCATCAGCATGTGTCCAGAAGTCGTCCACTGGAACGTTCCAGAGATAATTGCCTTTGTTCACAGGTTCATGGACCACAGCTGGCCCGGCTCTTGAAGGGTCCGCTTGCTTCTCAAACAAAGAAGTTGTAATTGGTACACCGCTTTCTCCTGACCACGCACTGATGTTGTTAATCATGGTGTTTGCACCACCGTTAAACGGCGTATACTCTGCTGGCAATGATGCTGGATAACCTTGGGGCGTAGAAGTTGATGAGACAGACGATGCTGAAGTGGAGTGAGCTGCCGTGGCAGTTGGGTACGCAAGCGTGACATCTGGGAATGCAGAAGTTGGTGAAGAGTCAGGCAGGTTTCTCTTCAACACGTTGAGGTCGGATTCCATCTGCTGTGGTGATTCAACAATCAAAAGATGTGAAAGCGACTTTGGCACCACGCTCTTCTGCAATTGACCTTGCTTACGTCTCCGCTCAGCCTGTTCAAAGCGTTCTTCATCGGTATGCTGTGTAGATTCAACACCAAAGCCACTAGAAATCGGTTGGAAGCGACGAACAATTGCTGGTGGCATGCCAGGCTGGTTGTTGTAGATGATTTCTGAAGAGTCTGGACCACAACGTTTGATGAGATTACCAATTGTAGCACCCATCAATTGATCAAACGTGTCTCTGAATGTCAGAGCAAATTTTGACCGTTCAGCCATCACATACAGACATATTGAGCATGCTCTAAGATCGTTCAGCCCGGAGAAGAGAGACTCTGAAACAGCAGGTCTCGTATGCTTCGATACATCACCAAGGGCCCGTCTGTTCATGTCGTCCTTGTTTCTCGCAAGCCATAGGCAGTAGATTAAGGTGACACCGGCAACAAACACCGTGTGAATAGCTGTTGTGGAGTGACCAAAGACTGTCTTCTGATGGAAAACTTTGAAGAGTTGGCAAATCTGACCAGCAGCTGCCTGGCACTCTCTGAAGAGCTTGTCCATCGGGTCCATGAGCTCCAGGAATGGTTGTATCAACAGTCTTACTGAACGATAGTAGTACAGTCTCAGGGTCTCATTATGGATACCACTTCCAAACCCAGAACAGAGTCCTCTCCATACCTCCAATTCTTGAAAGTAACGTTCAACAAGAGGCAGCTGTTGAGGCTTGACGTTCTGTGGATCAATACAGGCAAGAATGTTCAGCTCCTCGACGAATCTCGATTCAATACGACGTAGAGCAATGGACTGGTTGATGAAGATGACACTAGGGCTAGACGAGTGCACCACCTTGCTTGGTTCTGTAACAAACAATGGAATATCAATGTCCACTATTCTCTCAGAGATAGTGTACGGCTTTCCAACGGCGATGGAGATCATTCTCTCCAAAAGGTACACACACCACCATGTTCTCATCTTTTTCATCTTCTCACGAGGTGGAAGCCCAATGTATGTCACAGACTTGTTCAGCTTCAAGCTCACACAGATCGCCATGGAGTCCTTGATAATGTCATAAAGGCACGACGAATCCCTGTCCGTTCTGATGAGGTAGAGAACTATGAGCGTTAAGATCTCAACCTCGTGTAGCTTGGACATTGTTCTGCATTTTGCCAGATGACGCATAGAAGTTGAGAAGTAACGCTCTGGTGGAGGACCGGTATACTTTCCCGTTGACATATGAAGACAAGAGGAAATGGCAAATATCAGCCACATTCTTGAGCAGCAGTAGTAGAAGAAGTCATTGTTGTTCATGTATCCTGTCAGGTTGTTTGTCACATAGGCGTTGTGGAACTCAAAGATCTCATCCTCGTCTAGCAACGGATACTTGAACTGCAATCTTGAGAAATGGATGTCCAAAAACGCTCTGGATACTTTCTCATCGAACTCAAACACCGGGTCGAAGGCGAGGAATTCTCTCAAATTATACTTGTCCAACAGAGAATTGGAGACGTCAATCGAGTCAATCGAAAAGTATGGGTTCTTTCCCCCCATTGAGTCGACATATGGAAGTTGTCTGTTGGTGGGGATAGGTATGATCTTGTTCATCTGCGGGAGGTTTTGCTGGCGAGCCATGAGCCGTTGAGCCTGTTCGAACTGCTCTATCTGTGAGTCTTCGGCCAAGAATGGGCTCAGTTTCTTATACTTGAAGCTTCTCTTCGTGTTACCTCCTTCAGGGTCAATGACGATGTTGTTTGCATCGAGAAGTTTCTCCAAGAACTTGACTTTCTTCTCGAGCATCGTGGTGTATTCATCCTTCTCTGGCGCCTTTACAGCGTACTTCGCAGGCTGGACACATTCAACACCTGCTTTGATACACGTAGTACACGATGGCAGCCTGTGGTCACACTTCTGCTTACGCTTCTGACACAGCAGACAGCTCGTTGACCGGCCCTTCTTATCGTGTGGGTTGCGGAACTTCGCTGGAGGTGCGCTCGAGTTGGGCGAAGACGTGCCAGAAGGGCTCACTTGGTATAACGCTGACATCTCGTGGTTGTAATGTTCTAAAGCAGTGTGGAACGACGGCGAGTCACAACAGCGATAACGTGATATTGCCGGAGTCGAGGTGCTTTATATTGCTTCGAAGATGGAGGGGTATTCACAGCAGCTCAACAAAAAAACAATCGACGTGTGATGGCAGGACAACCGGATGAGTAGAAAGTGCACACCTCTTATAACAAATTTGATCTTTAAAACTGCTTCTTACAACTTTTTTCTCTCTCTCCCGGTGTGTGATTCCTCTCTCACGACACATTACTGGCTATGCATTGTGCGCATCTGGTGCGTTTCATGCGCCTCCAGGACCTTAAAAAGAAACGAAAATTTTCTTCCTAATGACCGTCGGAGTTTGGCTCCAACAATCAAACCGGCTACCACAGGGTGCTGCTTCCATGGAGAACGAGGCTAAAAAGCTCGGAGTCACGAGTAGCCAATGCCTGTGTTAGCCATACAGAATGGTGGTTTAACGGTTTTGGCAGGGTTGGTCGTGGAGAAGAGGCGCCGAAACTGGAGAGGTGGTCATAGGTGTTAAGAACAAGTCTGTGTGATCTTAACAGCGAGGACTATTCCCAGGTGGCCGCTGTTAAGGCCCACCGGCGGAGAAACCCCGCCTATTGTGAGTTTGGTTTCAGCACGCTTGGGCTTCGGTTTTAAGTGCAAGCTTGTTTCTCCCTTGCGACGCTTCAAATATTGAACTCGTTCCATGCGGTTTTAGGACTCAGGAGAAGAGGCTCATCTGGATGCATGAGCGTTGGAGGTGAGCATCTGAGGCCGGGAGTGATTTGTGGAACGGGTGGTGGCATTCGGGTGCTCAGACACCCTGGTTTCCTAACTCGTCGCTGGTGAGGTTGTTGGTGTGCGACAGGGCTACGCTGGTGGACGTCAGACAATCAACTTGACCGGCATCAACTCCAATCATTGGGTTGCACATGATAAGTTCAATTGACGAATTATCTCATGATCTGCGATGTCAACTGCAGCACCACTGATCAGCTCTCACAATTCTTTGGTGGTGAGATGTATGAGGGACAAAAATAGTGTTCGTGGAGTCCTGGAATTTACAAGCACGGTGCTGAGACGTAGGCGTCCGGGGTGGAAAAGAAGGAATCCGTAACTTCCCCTTTAATTGGGCTGTAACTCGCCAGCTTGTGAAGTCACAGAGAGTTTCTGCCGTTAAACACCTGTAGATATACGGCTATGGAGAAGTGTCTAAAGTGGAACCTTGAAAGGTAATACGCTCGTATTGGTGTCTGATGAGATTCCAGCTTGAGCCTCCAATATGAGAATCTGTGCATTGTGTGGTTAGACATGGCCGTGATAGGACGTCTGTTTGTAAGGCAACATAATTTACACCATGGCTTCGAATCACACATACCGAAAGTTGTTTCAGTTGAAGAATGACACAGCCTCTACGTTTCGAGCATGTATTTTGTTGTATCTAAACACCTTGGACCAGTACTCGAGTGTAACACAACGCACACTTTGCAGAACCGCGATCCCGATGTTCTTAACTGCGAATGCGTGTGAAAAATGTCACCAGAAGCTTCAGCACCCAGGATTTGGTTCCCCACGCCAAATTTCGAAGTAAGACCACTCTAAACGGTTGCTACACGGTACATAGAACATGTGAACTCATTGGTGAAGTTCGTATTTGTTAACAGCGTCCAAGATATGAGGGCTTAGAACTTTTTGTTGGGATCTCAGATATCTAACTTGACTTAGTGCATGCCTTGAGCTCGAAGAAATCCGAAAGCGTATAAGCTGCGTCGTGTTGACGGGCACATATGTATCCATAAAGGGGTATTGAAGTTAAGCTTGTACACATATATCCAGTACTTCCCCACATTGATCATTGCCAATGGTGTGGTTGAATTCTGCTCGCTGGTTTGGAGAGTGTCCAAGTTGTATCGCCGACAGATCTTGTTTTTGACAGATTGCTCGTGATGCATGATGATGAGAGAGAGGTTGAACTAATTCATAGTGATGCCGTTTTCAAACGTAGTTTGCTCCTCATCAGGTGCTTTGGTTCGAAGTATATGTGGTCACATTCCTGCCGTCCTTGTCCTGAAGAACCTGAACATTCAAACATCTGAGATGATCACAAGCACTTGTTAGACAACCCATACGTGCAACTAAGTTGCAATTCTCGCTCGGTGTTAAGATTCTCTAGAGCACTGTTTTACCCCATAGTGAGCAAAGCACTCTCTTTGCTGAAACCAATGCATGGTATGTTTACTGCTTTCGCTAACAGTGACTGCCAGTGACTATGGAGACGCTGTCGGACTCAGGACGCTTGATTGCAACAATCCCCACCATGGTCAAGGCTCTGTTGGCTCAATGGAAACGAAAGCCGGTGTGTATCAAAAATACAAGGCCCATGCATCACAGAAACCATCTTTCGGGTCTTCGGGACGCAAATTTCATCAGAATGGCTCTGTTCTAAAGGCTCTGGCTAGCTCTAGGCCTAAAATAACGGATAAATAGAGGGGGTTTCTCTCTTCATGATGACTTATGAGAGTGTGTACAACATTTGCGGGGTTAGGGTTTAATGCACGCAGATCGTCGTTTGTTGGATTCGACAACACAAAGCTTTGTGTGTCTGTGGCTAAGACCGCAAAAGAAGAAAACGACGATACGGAGTCGCCACTAATCACCGAGCAAAGCCCTCTGAGACGTTATCGAGGTTGCTCAAGTTTGCTAATAACTTCCTAGCATTGGCGTGTCGAAGATGATCATTTTGAACAGGTGCATCTTTTCGTGTCCACAGTGCATATGTCTCAGTAGAGCTCAGGCCTGTACTCACACCCAGGTGTCTGGGTTGCTCTCGCTGAACGCTGTTGTGCTGACCGTGAACGGTTTTGCTAGTGCTCAGAGTGTGAGGCCCGATATCTACAGATTGTCCATCAAAAGCGTGCCAAAGATCGTTTCTACTTTACTGCACATCGATACAATGGAAGACGAGTTGTTGTTTCACCGAGATTTGGGAGTTGATCCCACACGCGACATCGGGAACAGCGTGGTTGTGTTGGACCCCAATACAGAGGTTGATATAGCAAAAAGAGAAGAATTGACGGGACGAGGTAAACAAAGAAGCAGGTACAACGATCGCCATCGGACACAATGCTCTGCTCATCCGTTGCATGACTTCTCGGTAGAGTCTAACCGTTGTAGGTGTAAGGACACCCATTCGCCTGCTTTTGTTGTGAGAACTTTTACCAAATCGAGTCATAATACCCTGGGTGCATCTAGAGATGATTCTGGAAGCTTTCAAGCGCAGGAACCGAACGGATCCCAATATCTGACAACTGTGGGTGCTGTGAAGGCAGAGACCAAACCTCGTCTAATACCTGGTAATCTAGCTCCTGGGTCAGGACAACTAGCATCCAATCGAATGTCATTTCTAGCTTTCCCAGATGAATTGGCGTTTGGCATGAAGAGCGACGTTGTGAGCTTTGAGTTGGATCCCGCTTTTGTAAATGATTCGAACGCCAACGTTCAGGAACAGCTACCGACTGTTGACAAAGACTGGAGAATAACCGTTAAAGCAGATATCACATAGCACTACAGATATCACATAGCACTACTAAAACGAGTACGCTGTATGCGGTATACTTATAAGACAATCATCAATTTTTATAAGTATTGAGTCATTATGTTCCGGGATTAGTACGTTGATGCTGGTAGGGCCTGTTTTACAGGAGCGAAAATCTTTACTCCATTACTTCTTTGGTTCAGGCTCTAATACAAAGATTGTGAGTATCTAATAGCACTGTAAGTCCTAGTCTTAACCAGCTCTATACATTTCCTTTTCTAGGGTTCCGTAACCATCAGTGCACTTTTGGAAAGGGATGGCTTCACTGGTACTTGTCTTTGGAATAAGACTTCACAGAGTGGTTCTCTTGTTGAGTTAGTGTCTTGCTATCATCGAACCAGTGGAACTGTGCACCTCTTGGTCTGCAATCAGGACTCTGGGCTCTTTTCAACGTTGAGCCCGCCACTGCGAAAGAAATATAGGATCCATTCCAATTGACTTTATAGGACAGAAAGTTATGTGGTCGTACAGTTTAAGGGTATCACTGATTTTAACATTTTTGTAAATTTGGCCGCGTGGTCTAGTGGTATGATACTCGCTTTGGGTGTGAGTGGTCCAGGGTTCAATTCCCTGCTCGGCCCTATTTTTTTCATAAATCTGATTTATATTGTCACGTGATCAAAATCTGATGGAATCAACCTCAAGTCACCACTGCTATGCGAAAATATTGTACAATAATAGTGACTTATTTTTATGACTGTCTATTAACAGAAAGGCTGAGCCATATCTCATACATCTCAATGAAATCCTGTGCTTATCCACAGTTGTGAGAGAGCGTGTGTCTTTTGGAACTGCGATTCTCTTCGTATCACTGGCTGGCGCGCGCGCGCACTTCATCAACGATTTGTTTACATTTTGGAAAACTTCAAACATCTAAAGATTGCGTGTAACGAGCATTCTATAGCGCGGCGCTTGGTCGTATTGGGATAAAAGCACTGATGGAGTCGTTGAAGATTCCTCTCAAAGTGAGGAAAATACACTGGGAGAAAAGTACACTCCAAAAGACGTTTGATGCGGCCAAAAAGATCGCCATTTGTTCTAGCGATGAAATACTCTGGATATCTGAGCACAGTGTCTACTGGCTAAAGGGCTTGTTCCTTGACAGATATTTCCATTATGATGAGGTGGTTATTAACGCATTCTTCACAAGTTTCTCTGTGGAGTCGTCTGATGATAGAAAACTCGTCGTTGTGTTAGAGAATGCTGCTCATATTTACTACGCTGATGGTCAGAAGCATACGATGAGCTTCTCATATCAAATCACAAATGCATACCCATTTGAAGGTGGTTTTGTGATAGATCGTTGTCCTGGATCAGGCTCCTGCTTCTTGGCAGTTACAGATCCGATGAGTGACCCTGGTGCCATTGTTTCGTCATCAACATCGTTGATTGCATCGACAGAACGCCTACTTCTTTTCCCCCAAAGGTCTGACTCCACAATAGCTGTCACTCGTGATAAGTATGAACAAACAATTTCACTCTATCACACAAGATTCCTCAATAGATCCAGCAAGAGCATTTCCCACAATCCTGTTGCATCCAAAAAGCGTGTGCCCTCGCAATCGTTTAGAATATCTTCACATTCTTCTTCTACTAATGATCAAGGCGAAGGAAACTTTGACAATGGTATAATGATGGAAAAAAGAAGAAATGTATCCCAAGCGGAAAATATGGCTATTGATAGGATGGCCTCGTATGATACAAACATGAAAACAGCAGAAACCATGTCGACTACAACGCCTCTTGATGTCATGGTGAAGAAGGACGCAATATTGTCAAAGCTGGAAACTCTTCAGTTCAAATCTGATTCAGATCAAATCAAAATCCAATCTGTGGTGTTTGAAGACAAAGAGAGTGTTATAATCCGTGACCAACTAACTGGATTCTTTCAATGTTTCATCTTTCATGTATCAAAGTCTGTTAACCCTTTCCCAAGATTGGTTAAAACAATTGACCTTTCAGGCCAGTACGTTGACTTTGGAGTATGCTCTTCGACACCTGGTATGTGCATTTTTTTATCAAAGTCCAACGATTTTGTACTATGCAACCCAGCATTACAATTGTCCACTTCGCTTTTTACAACATCATTCCATGTTGATGAGATTTGTGATGCCAATGGCTCAACGGTGATTTTGAAAGATTCGAATTGCTGTTATGGTTTATCATACCTACCAATAAACCCCAAGTCTGTTCTTGTCAAGAGATGTCTATCATGCTTGAAATATATCACAAACTCATATACGTTCAACTACATTTGGCTTACATTCCTCAACGCATGTTCAATTGATTCAGATGAATGGTCAGCTTTCGTTCTAACAGTTTTGGTTACTATATTACCGTTTGCAGTGAAACCTACTTCAGTTAGCTCTCCGAATCTTGTATCTTCTCTCTTGGCTAAGATAGTGCCGCTTCAAATGAGAGCTATTGGAGACGGGTTTGCATTGTATGAAATGGCTCCTAATATTGTGACTGCACTTCATTTGATACGTGAAGATCTCAAACTCGACATTCTTGAGAATGACTCAGTAGATAAATTGGGGTTCTTGCTTGCTCAGCTCTCTCATTGGATGTCCTGGCCATCTACGTGGAAATGTGCCTACAACGTTGATGAATCTTTGTTGGATAACTCACTCAGGTTTCCATCACCCCCTCTTCTTGATGAGCCACCAGATTTATTACGCTCGCTGACTTCTTTATTTGATTCTCAGATCGTTCCGTTTTGTACGTTTTCACAGCTTGCACAAGAAGATGAGGAGGTTGATGCAACAGTCACCTCTAGAACTTATGCAGTTCTACGACTATTCGAGGCTCTTATATCATCCGAATTTTCTCCTCTGGATATTGTGCGTATGCTTGGTGAATTGAAAATATCCTTGGAAGTTTTAGAAACATTCCCAATTGGTATCGTTATTCCTTTAAAGGAGGTGACATCTTACTGTCAAGAACATTTGGCCTCCATGGATCAATCACCAGGCGTCTTTGGCTTGCTTGATAGAAAAGATTTGGAGGTTATAAGATCCCATCAGCACAAACGGATTCACAAATACAGTGCTAACTCGCATATTCAAGCAAAGGACACCAGCCAGATTGTAAACACCATATGGAAATCCCCTGATCACATAGCTCCTATTGAACAAGATCGATTGGATATAACACGTACTATCTTCAAAAGCGATAGAAGATTTTGGGAAATGACGAAGATTTTAGAAAGTTCCCAGGTACAACGAGTAACAAGTACTCAAAATACAGCTGCATCAGACAAAGAGCTTCTTGAATATCAGAAAGAAGTTGCTCATTATGCTACTGTGAGGCTTTTGACTCTATCAATAGGAAAATCTATTGTATTCTATTCCATGAAAAGTCCTCTAACTACAGAAATTTTTCCATTCTGGAAGATGAACTTTGCAACAACCATTTACCCGGATGATATCACGATAACTACTGACAAGGACTCTTTAGATAAAGTGTCTTTGGAGTGGGCATATTTTCATAATGGGGCAGCTGGTGGATTGACAGTTTCAAAAGATGCAAAAGGAATCACTGGAAGCTGGATCACATTCAACAGGAATAAATCCCTAACAGCGCAACACGCTGGCTTCCTTTTAGGATTAGGATTGAACGGACATTTGAAGTCGCTAGAGGAGTGGAATATCTTTAACTATTTGGGACCGAAGCATTCATATACAAGTATTGGTCTTCTTTTAGGTATGAGTGCCAGTTTAAAGAGAACTATGGATACCAAGTTAACAAAGGTTTTAAGTGTTCATTTAGATGCACTGCTACCGCAGGGTGCTAGTGATCTCATTGTTGGAAGCTCTGTCCAATCTGCAGGCTTAATTGGTATAGGATTGTTGTACCTCGAAACGCAACATAGAAGAATGACTGAGATTCTTTTATCTCAAGTTAATGGGAAGGTTCATGTTGAGGGCAAGACACTTTCTGATGAGAGCTATAGGTTATCTGCAGGAATTGCCCTTGGGTATGTGAACTTGGGTAAGGCCAATGAACTCAAAAATCTCAAAGATACTCGTGTTATCGACCACCTACTCGAAATTACAACTTCTTTAAGAGATGTCCAGAGCTCTGAGGCTTACGATAAATCTATTGGGGGTGCTCTGATAGCGTTAATGTTCATCTATTTGAAAAGCCATGATAAAGAAATTGTTAAAAAGTTGGCAGTTCCTGATACTGAACAGGTTCTAGATTATGAGAGACCTGATTTACTTATCTTACGTGCTTTGGCTACAAACTTAATCATGTGGAATGATATTGCAGACACTGAAGATTGGGTTAAATCCCAAATACCTGCTGTGGTTTTGAGCAAACGACGTTCAAGTGTCGATTTGATCGATCAGTCAGATTACTACTACATCGTTGCTGGTGTTTGTTTATCTGTTGGTGTGAAATACGCATCCACGTCTAATTTAATAGCAAGGGACACAATCATCCATTTCTATGACGATATTACCAAAAAGATTGATGATTTGCATGGAGATGAATCCTTTGAAGCCATATTTGCAAGACCTGTTTTGCAGCACGTGCAGGGGTGTCTCGCCATTGCTATGTCGTTGGTGATGTCAGGTACTGGTGATCTTGACGTTTTTAGAAGACTTAGAATCGTTCATGGTAAGCTAAACAATTTGAGTGGGGCTATTGCATATGGGAAGTTTATGGCCATTAACATGGCTCTTGGATTTCTCTTTTTGGGTGGTGGTCAATACGCCATAAATACTTTGTCAAACTTCAGCATTGCGGCATTGGTCACTTCGATCTATCCAATCTTTCCAAATACAGAAGGTGGTGTTAACGAGACGCATTTACAAGCTTTACGCCATTTCTGGGCCATGGCAGTGGATCCAAGGTGTTTGGTGACAAGAGACGTTGAATCATTCGATATTGTTGAAGCTGATGTATGCCTGGAGTTTAAAGATGGCTCTACTCAAGTGCTTCGCACTCCAAGTATTTTACCTCCAGTGAATGATATTGCAAAGATTTCGCTTGAAAGCTTTGAATATTTCAACATTTCTGTTAGCGGTGACGAGTTTTTGCAAAATCGTGGGCAGCTATTCCTCTACAAGAGACAAGGTATTAACGTTATGAAACACTCTGTTAAGGTTCTCTTAGATGAAATCAATGCCAAGTTTGAACAAAAGGATAAAACATCCAGTTATTTTTACGACTTGGATTTGTTCAAGGGGTTCAAGAAGGATGATATCCGTGAACTTATTGGCCGCAATCAATGTGATATGAAGGTCAACATCGTTGATAGACAGATCGAACTTTCCAATTTGGTTAAGAACCCAAGGAACATTGACGATTTGTGGAATCTCAAATTGGTATTCTCTTATTACGATCGTGCTCTACAGGAAAGCGATACGCATTATCTATCGTTAGAATTTATTGATGATCTCAGAAATGTTCTATGGGGTTTGTATAACTGAACTATACTTTCAACAACAGGCAGGAAGACCCCTTGTGTTCGGCTAAATCATCATGCCATCTTTTGGTGAGCTGTACTGCCTTAATATTACACCTCCTTCGTTCAACACCTTTGAAGATAAGTCGTCCATGCTATAGCTCTGAGAATAAACAACCTCTTTTATGCCACTCTGTACAATTTTGACAGAACACGTTAGACAAGGACAAGTGTTACAGTACAACGTTGCATTTGAGCCAATTCTATCTCTGCCACTTTCCAAAAGAGCATTCTCCTCAGCATGGAGACAGAGACAAGTAGACAGTCCTGCGCCTGAACCGTTCCCTGTATTACACCTTGGACATCCACCTTCGTTGCAATTGGTCATATGACGAGGAGTGCCGTTATAGCCTGTGGCGATGACTCGTTTATCACGAGCAATGACAGCACCGACACGGCGTTTCATGCAGTTTGACCTTAACGCAGCCAAATCAGCCAATCTCATGAAATAAGCATCCCATGTTGGTCTCAACCTTGACTGTTCCAAGAGGTTCAACTCGCTCAGTTGTCTGTACAGATGTTCAACGTTTGTGGACGTGTTTATCACTTTGACATCTGCCTTGGAGATGACCTCGGTCATCAAGGTGTTCCTGTTGTAAAGCTTGTCGTCCGAGAGGTCTGAGAAGCCTGTCAGGTTGATGTGTGGGTGGTTGGCTTTATACCTCTGCCATCTCAGTTTCAGCGGCGCGTCCACCGACACGTGAAGGAAGAACGGTCTCTTTGCCAGTTGCGCCAACTCCGCGGCCGACTCGATGTCTGTGAAGACATAATGGCACTGCCAGCTGTTCGTGACGTGATCGATCAGCTTGTCCAGCGTTTCAAACACCAACTGAGGCTCCAGCTCATCACCCTTGGTGACGGAGCACTCTTCAGGCTTCAGCTCGTCCCTCTCCACGTTGAGCAGCGTGAACCCCTGGTACGTGAGATACCTTGCGATCTCCGTCTTGCCTGACCCCAACGTTCCAGATATACCAATGAGCATCTCTGTCTCGTCCACTCGTATCGAGGGGAGACATCGCCGGTGAGAAGAGCAGGCAGACGAACAAAAGAGAAGTACTAGGCAAGCTCATCATCCACGCCCATCATCCACGCCCTCGGAGCTCCTCCGTGCTGTCTCGTGTTCCCCTCGGAACTCACACCCGTGCTTATGTAATCATGTTTACGTTTTGTGGTTTGTGGTTTCTTCGGCGCTCTCCTGTTTCGTCTGGAAACGCATTTTTGCGAAAGAGAAAAAACACAAACGCAGCGACAACGAAAAGTGCGACAAATTGCACGGGAGGGAGGGAAAACACACGCACGACGGTGCGGGAACGAAGCGGATTTAGCGAAAAAAGAACGAGTGAAAAAAAACGTCGCGAAAGAAATCGCCCATTTTTGCGTCGTGTTTCGCTCCACAAATCAAACTGCAGCGAATTTCCTTTCCCGATCGGGCTTTTCTCCCACACACACACCACACACACCACACACAAAATAAACGAAAAAACGTAAACCGAAAAAAGGAAAAAACGAAAAACCGAAAAAACGTAAAAAGTAAAACGAAAAACGAAAAAAGCCACTTCACAACCTCAGCTCAAACCATTGGATAATCCCTCCGTGTGTGTGTGCCCGTCCACTGCTTTTTGACGCTGTCCTCCCTCTCCCACTGCTCCACTCTCCCACTCTTCCACTCCTTCTCTCACCGTCGTGCCACTCATCCCCCGCCATCTTCCGTTTTGGTCCAATCACGTCTTCGCTCCGAGGCCACAAGAGTCACAAGATGCTTTCACATGCCAAAGCTGCCACCAACATGGGCACCAATTCCATCCCCAAGGTGAGGGAAACTGCTCACGCGATCAACAACGCCGTCAAGCAGTCCAACAGTGCCCGTCTGTCGAGAACAATGAAGGCTGGCACCAGGCTGATGTCGTCGTATCCGTTTCCAAAGATCCCGAGACCAAAGAGAAATGCGCTGTACTACAACACGTTCTACTACGGGTCGCAGTTGAAGAACGGGATCAGGGACAGGCTCCCTCCGATACGAGGGTTCTCGCAGACGTACCAGAGGCTCAACGGGTCGTCGATCTCGGGCCAGGACCCGCGTGCTCATCACCAGCTCATCAAGTACCTCGTGATCGTGTCCATCGGCTTCATCTGCTACGGCATGACCGCCAGGATGTACCACCTGTCCAGGGGGAAGGGCGACGAGGAAGACGAGGCCGACGAGGATGAGCTCGTTGGTCCTTCAACGTCCATCGTGAAGCCGAGCCACTCGTGGACTTTCTTCTGCTACAGCACGCTCCCGTTGAACGCCATCTCGAGACTCTGGGGCAGAATCAACAGCATTGACTTGCCGGTGTGGCTACGTGCGCCTGGCTACAAGTTCTACGCCTACTGCTTTGGCGTGAACTTGGACGAGATGAAGGACCCAGAGTTGGACCACTACAAGAACTTGAGCGAGTTCTTCTACCGAGAGTTGAAGGACGGCGCCAGGGCCATCGCCAAGGACGCTGACTTGGTCTGCCCAAGTGATGGCCTTGTCTTGCAGTTTGGTGCCATTGATAACGGTGAAATTGAGCAGGTGAAGGGTATGACGTACTCCATCGACGCGTTCTTGGGCAATGCCACGACGTCGAAGCTCGCTGCCCCTGCCCATGAGGTTTGTTTCAACCATCCTGATGAGGAAGAGGTGCACAAGAGACACGAGGAGTTTGCAAAGATCAACGGCATCTCATACACCTTGGATGATATCATCGGTGGTGAAGGTAAGAACGTGACGCACTTGAAGAAGATATACTACAAGGAGGAAGGTGACCGTACCGTGGAGAAGGCCGGTTCTGCCAAAATTGCAGAGGTTGCCTCCAGTGTGACGAACTCAACGCCTACAAAGGACTCGGACAAGGAGTTGTTCTTTGCAGTGATATACTTGGCTCCAGGTGACTATCACAGATACCACTCTCCTACGAACTGGGTCGTGCAATTGAGACGCCATTTCGTCGGTGAATTGTACAGCGTTGCTCCATACTTCCAGAAGACGCTACAAAACTTGTTTGTTCTCAACGAGAGAGTGTCTCTCTTGGGATACTGGAAGCATGGGTTCTTCAGCATGACCCCTGTTGGTGCTACCAACGTTGGCAGCATCAAGGTCAACTTTGACAAGGATTTGACGACGAATACCAAATACCAATCACCGCATTATTCCGACTCGGACGATGAGCTTGTGAGAGTGAAGAAGCACACCTGTTACGAGGCAACTTATTCCAACGCCTCCAAGGTGTTGGGTGGGTTCCCGGTGACCACTGGAGAAGAAGTTGGTGGGTTCATGTTGGGTTCAACGGTTGTTCTGGTGTTTGAAGCTCCAAAGGAGTTCAGATTCGACATTAAAAAGGGCGAGAAGGTCAAGATGGGCCAATCCTTGGGAAGAATTCATTGATAACCTCCTGCTCAGTACCTCTTTTATCCTCATTACTTCTTTCTTGATTGATTTACCTTGGTTTTTATGGCTTTGCATTTATATATTACGACACTTTATTTGATACTTGGATACCACTGTGCGTAGACAGCCATCATGTCTCTTTATAGACGTATGGGCCTGGCTTCTCCTCCACTGGCAGGTCCAATTTACCCTCCTCGATCTCAACACCGTCAACCTTCAGCCCAGCAACGATGTGGTCACCAGGAACAACCTTTCCAACACCCTTGGGAGTGCCTGTGAGGATGATATCACCCTTTTCCAGCGTCATCACCGAGCTCATGGTGCTCAGGATCTTGTTGATCGGGAAGATCATCAGGCTGGTCAAGTCGTCCTGCTTTGTCTCGCCGTTGATCTTCAAGAACAGCTCAACGTTGTAAGGATCAGGGATCTTGCTCTTTGGAATGAAAGCGCTCAGCGGGCAGAAGGTGTCGAAGCCCTTGCCAATTGACCAAGGCAGGCCCTTCTTCTTCGCCTCATCTTGGACGTTTCTGGCAGTGAAGTCGATTGCCAGCGCATACCCGTCAATGGCATCAATGGCGTCCTTATCAGAGAATGCGTCTGGGTCCAAGTTCTTCAGCGTCTTGTTCAGAATCACCGCCAGCTCCACTTCGTGGTGAACCACCGTCCCCTTTGGAATCAAAACAGCGCCAGCTCCCTGTTGCAAGATGGAACTCGTCGGCTTGAGGAAGTAAAAAGGTTGCTGTGGTTTCACGTTGTTCAGCTCAGCGATGTGAGCGGCGTAGTTACGCCCAATACAGAGGATCTTACGGGCAGATTTGGCGTAGTTGAAGGACATCGTCGGTGTTCGCTACTAAGCAGTGGTTGATTGTTGGTGGTGGAGAGCAAGGTGCGCTCCCCTGTGTGGTTTTCGTCCGCCTGGACGTGGGCCTCGAGAGGCCTTCGGAGATGATAACGGATTAGCTGAAGCCACATCACAGCGTATCAGACGTTGTAGGCATGAGGATTAGGTACGATGGCATGTTTCTACAACTACGATAGGCACTGTGTTACGCCAGTGGCTCTTCGTGTCGATGGTGTTCTTTATTGCTAAGCTACGGCTTGTGTGTTCTTCTGGTAACGCTGCTCGTGCCTGTTGGTGTGGCGTAACGCTTATTTGTATAGTACATTAGTAAGAGGACCTGTGTGTCCTGTCTTCTTCTTCTTCTTCATCATCTTCTTCTTCTTCTTCTTTCTCTCCCTTGTCTGTTGAATTCTGGGTCCCTAGACGACGCTGCGTGTACTGCTCTGGATCCACGTCCTATATCGCTCGTAATGGCCATCAGTATGAATCGATAGGATAATGCCAATCATGAGACTGACGCACTCGAACCACACGGACGACACCAACAGCAGCAGCAGCCCACTCTCCACGTCTGGACGGTGCCAGCACGTCTCATCTGGCTTCAAATTGCACCATTCTTCTGGTTCTGGCCTTGTAGAGCACCCTGTGGCCGCAAGAGCTACATCTGATGGCATCGTTTCTACCAAGCGACACGTTGGTGGCACAACTCGTACAGATGTACTTCACAGTGTTGTTCTTGTTCGACGTGAAGCCAGAAGCTGCGGAACTCAAGTTCTGTGGTGCGACGAAACCTTCTCTGCTCATGGTGTGCCTGGTTGTGTGTGTATAAGTTAGCCTGAAGAGGAAGAAGAAGGTGATCTCCGAGGAAAATTTTTGGTGATCATCTTCGGGGAGAAATGTACGTAAGATAGACATCCAGACACCACCAAGTGGCCATCGGCGTTGTCCACGCTTTCTTTCCGACCACACGCAAACGAAGGTACCCACAACAACGAGCAAAGGTCCCAACAGACTCGGTGTGTAAGCGATGGCAGGTCAGTCCGCTAAGAAACAGGTTGCCTCTAACAACAAGATCCTCAAGGAGATCCATAGGATCACGTGGGTGTCGCTTGGTGTGTTTGCGGTGTTCAACTTTGCTGTTGGCCGTCCTCAGAATTATAAGCCATTCATCATCTTTTCCATACCTGCTCTGCTAAGCATATACACGTTGGAGAAGACTGGACGTCCAGTGGTGGATAACAGTGGGAAGATTGTGCGTATTGGCCAGGATCTGCAACAAGAAGGGTTGACGGAGTACTTTTTTGACATCATTTACCTCACCGTCATATTCAACTTGATTAGTATCGTCTTCAACACGACCAAGATCTGGTGGCTGTACCTTGTGGTTCCAGCATTTGCATGTTACAAGCTGTATGGGCTGGTGAATGCTGGCAGACAGCTGCTTGGCGGTGGTGGTGCTAGCACGTCTGGTGCTACTGAGAATGACGGTCAAAGTGGCAGTAAACAGCCGGAGAAGAGCAAGAGACAGCTCAAGATGGAGAAAAGAGGTGATAAGCCAAAGGTTAGATATAGATAATGTGTAATCTAGGGTGAAAAGAAAGGTTATTAGAGCATTTCATGTGTATATAATGAATAATTAGAGAAGAGGGAGAGAGAAGAGGGCTTAAAGACAGAGATAAAAGAAAGACCTTGATACGGAAACAACGGGGTTGATAAGCCTGGTTCATCGCACCATTGGTCACGTTCGGATATCACCCCTGCTTTGATATGTAGAGCTGGTATCAACGTATCATCTCCCCTTGGCTCTCTTCCTTTTCCTCGTTCTCTCTTACCAAAGCATATATGAACGGTATTCCACAGCGTACCTCCAAAGGTTATATAAAGCCAATCTAAATCAAATTGAAAGAAAGACAGAAGGAAAGAGACAATGAGAGATAGTAATGGATCCAAATCAAGGGACATTCATGGACTAAACAATGCAGAATGGAATAGAATCGTCTTCAATAGTCCCTTTCGCCACCACCTGATGAGAAGGAGGAAGGGGACGCTTCTCATCTCTATGTTCACCCAAATCACTTGTCTTCATATCATGGGAAGAGAGATCCAAAGCAAACTTCAAACCATTCCTTTATTATAAACAGAAAAAAAAACATCAAAACAAAACGGAACAAATCAATATAAGTAAGAACAACCAAGAACAAAATACATCACACCAAGGATCTGGTCTTCGGGAAGAGAAAGAGCAAATAAGCAGATTCGCTTCAACAACAGTTACTTGAGGAGCCGCCAGAGATGGATTGACCCTTCAAGTTAACAGCGCTCTTGTTGTTAGCAGCATTGTTTGCCGCGTTGTTGGCAACGTTTGCCTTAATCTGTCTGGCCATTGTGAAGAACGCCTGCTCAACGTTGGTTGAGTTCAAAGCAGACGTCTCCAAGAATGGAATGTCCAAGGCATCCGCAAACTCCTTTGCAACGTTATAGTCCACCGTTTTCTTATCGGTGAGATCGCTCTTGTTACCCACAAGCAGCTTCATAACACCGCCCGTGGCGTATCTGTCAATCTCCTGGAGCCACTGCTTGACATTGTTGAAGGACTCTTGGTCGGTGACGTCGTACACAATGATGATACCGTGGGCGCCTCTGTAGTAGGACGAGGTGATGGTTCTGAAACGCTCTTGACCAGCAGTGTCCCAGATCTGCAGCTTGATGGTCTTCCCATCCAGCTCAATGGTTCTGATCTTGAAGTCAACACCAATCGTGGAAACGTAGTCGTTTGTGTACGTGTCGTCAGCAAATCTCAACAACAAACACGACTTTCCGACACCGGAGTCTCCGATCAACAAGAGCTTGAACAAGTAGTCGTATTCGGTATTCATCGTGTCGTTATCTTCGGCTCTCCTGTTGTGTGTGAATGGATAAATTTCCAGCTGCCGCTCCGTCTCTGTGAATGAGTCTGTTGGTTACTGTGAAGTTGGGAAAGTGAGAGAGAAACGAAGTCCACAAATTGCCCCCTCCCCCTTTTCACGGACAAAGCGAGAAAAAAAAAGTCCCAGCAAAAAATGTCCTGTGCGTAGAAATCAGCGAAGGCGAGCAGGACAAGACAAAAGACAGCAGAATCAGACAAAAGACAGCAGAATCAGACACAACGGGGCAGGCTGGGTAGGAAAACGAAATGAAATGGGTTTCTACAATGGGGTTACAAGAGAAGGACGGTGGTGGAGTTACGGAGGAAAAGGTGTTCAAGTGTGGTAGCGAGTAATTGGGCGTTATTTCTTAGGAGAGGTTGTCC